CCTCCTCCTCCTCCCCCTCGCCGCCTTCTGCCTCCCCCATCTGCGCGTCCCCCTTTGTCGGAGACAACGCGTCCCCAGACCCGGAAGCAACGTTATCCTTGCCCGAGCCGGTCGATCCACCGGTGCCGTCCTCATCGTCATCGTCGTCTTCTTCGTCCTCCCAATGAGCAGCCCGTTCCTCGAAATCACCGAAGCTTATGCTGGGGGTGCTTTCGACCTTGGCGGCCCGTCCCGTGCTGCCCGTGACGCCGTCCTGCCCCCGTCGACCCCTCGAAGGAGACTGCTGCTGCTTGGGGTGCATCACCGCCCGCCGTTCTCTCGAAAAGTTGTAGCTGTGATGAGCGTTGGGCGACAGCGGGACGATCGGGCGCACGAACGGAGGGCGGCGGCGGCGGCGGCGGCGGGCGTCATAATCGATCGGCTGCCAGGAATCGTGTGTTGGATACATCGTGAGCCGCAATGTGGGTGTCTACGGCTACCGTACAGCAATTGATGCATGCGGCGGCGGTATTGCAGGGCGGAGCACAATCAAGACTTGCGTGTTCTTGTTCGGGTGGGTACATGATGCATCGACTGACAACGTCCTCCTCAATACCGCATGCCAAGGCTTTACACGGGTGGCAAAAGGTCTCACCGGCAGAGGCGTCACTGGCTACCTCTCACCCTCGTAACCCCCCTCGCCCTGCCCTGTACCCCTTCTTCTCTACTCATTCACTCCACCAGCCCGCCAGAGGTTGGGTATTTCGCCACGAACCCGCGAAAACGAGCGCGTTTGCTCGTTCGCGCACCAACCAGTAGCGGTGCAACACCAGCAAGCCATCTGTTCACCGGAGGAGGACAAACTACAAAAAAAAAAAAGTATTTTCACCCATGCGGAACGTATTCGCCGTCCTCCTCCTCCTCGTCCCCGTCCTCTCGCCCTTGCATCCCGCCGTTACCGAGCGTCGGCTGTCCGTCCTGCCCCCACCCCGCCCCCCACACGGAGTCGGCGTGCTGCGTCGCTTCCCACTCGGAGGGTCCCTTGGCCGCTTGGTCTTGCCCGTTTTCAGCCAGAGGCTGCTGTCCGCGTCCCCCCCCCTTCCTTCCTTCTCGGGGAGACGGAACCACCGTGGCGACGTCGCCGAAGTCGACCACTGGCGGTTCCGGGTCCTCTCCGAGACTCAAAACCACGCCATACTTGCCTTTCGTGACGTAATCGCACACCTTCCGGTCAGACGGAGCGCAAATGCCGGTTTTGAAGAAGGAAAAGACGGACGATTATTCCTAAAAGGCGCATATACTACTGCCTCCCAAGAATGTCACGACAAGCAAACAGCCCCCTCACCCTAGTACCCCCCCCCCCCACCCCACCCCCACCACGCGTGCAAGAAAAAACGATGGAGAACCAAAACACGCCGACAACACAACCCATGCCAAGAGTTACTCACCTCCGTGTTGGAGGCAAGCGCTCCCCCGAGAGATACAGTCCATCGGTCGAGCTTGCTCGAAACGTGTCCCGAGTCATCCCCGACGCTCGAGCCCAGCGGCAAGGGGCGGAACCCACCGGGCGACGCGGGGGAACAATTAGGAGACCCCGCCCCGTCCGTCTCCCCCGGACGCGGCGCGCCTGCTGCTGGCTGGGCCCCGGTTGCCACTTCCGCCCGTCGCCGCTTCTTCAGCACCGCAATCCTCCGTCTGTGCAGCTTGAGGGTCCACTTCGTGTGTTGCTCGTTGGCAGCCGGCCCTTGATCCCGTCCCATCTGCGCCCCCCCCGGCAACTGCGCCATGTACAAGTCTTGAGACGGCCCCACCATCTGCCCTTGGAATGGCTGTTGTTGTTGCTGGATGGGCACGACACCCGGAGTCATGCCCACGTGCTGAAAGTGATGCGTGGGGGGCTGGTTGAACATCGCAGGCCCCATGGGGATGCTGGATGGCGGCATCAGCTGCTGTTGCTGTTGCGGGATAGGCCGCATCTGCCGCTGATGTTGCGGGAAAACTTGCTGCAGCGGGAGATATGGCTGCATTCGAACCTGCTGGTGATGGTGCTGCATGTGTGGCTGCATCTGCATCGACGGCGCTTGGTGCGGCTGGCGCTGGTACTGCTGGCAAGCCCCGTCAATGTCAATGACTCCTGGGGGTGGCGGGGGACTTGCAAGAGCGCGAGGAAGGCCTCCGACTGTTGCCCCGGGGGCCAAGCTTGCCGTCGCCGCCTGCAGAGAGGGCCACCCTTCGTGAGGCAAGGGCGGCGAAGGGCTCCCTGGACCCCGCACTGCCGCCCCGGGGGCCGCTAGCAGTGCTCGCGAAGTCACCACCGCGGGGCCTCGAGTCGCGGGGAGTGGTTGCCGGGGATAGGCCACCATGGTGTTCTGGAGCGCGGCGGCTCCTGCTACCCCAATCGCCGCTAGTGGCCCTGACTGCTGCTGGAAAAGCGCTGGGTGGTGCTGCTGGTGGTGTTCGGTCAGCGACGCCATCCCAACCACAGGTGGTCCAGGTTGCTGCCACGACTGCTGCTGAAGACTTTCCGAGCGGGGTGGGCCGGGGCTGGGGCTCTTCCTTCCCCCGAACCTAGACCCCTGGGTCATGCCACCCCCCGCTTCATCGGTAGAGATGCGTACACGGGAATGGACATACAGAACGACGACATCCACAGCAGGCACAAGGACAAATACACACGAGGTACAGTTACTAAGGACTATGTATTGGCAGAGGATGCCTTACACACAAACTTGCCTCCCCGCCCAACAACGAGTTTCTGTCCAGACAAACTTCTTTACAATTTTGATCGCTGCTGGTGGCGGTGTGGTGACGATCCGGTTCGTCAAACCGTTTCGTCGAGAGGTGTTTCGCCGCCGAACATGTTGGCGGCGGCGAGTGTTTTCCGGACATGCCACTCGCGAGAATCATGAATTGGAGAATACATATGCAAATGTGTTGACCATGAGAACGCTCGCAAATTTTTGCGACACGAAGATACGCGGGTATTCCAAACTATGCATGCCGCAACGAAAACGAAGGAGTTCGATGATAATTCAAATCTCAACCGATGCCAAGAAAAAGCCGGTCAAACACGCGTTTGAAAGGCCGAGCAAACATGCACCGGATCTACTGCTGAAATTCTAATATACATCTAAATACATACATAAAAAATGGCCGACAAAGTCTGCGAGTCGCGATTTCAATAGTCGTGGCACGACAACTGACGCGCGACACCCCTAAACTCCACTCTCTATCTACGCGCGTCGCTGCGCCGGATTCGTTAAACCGAAACGAGGTTGCAACACGGTGGACCAGAACCCCACCCCAACCATATTAGAAGTATCATGTGATCTACAGCACCCTCCATTTTCTACCACAGAGCCGACCCAGCACCCGCAACCCTTAGTTCTTGCCAAGAACTGCAAACGGAGCGGGGGCAATTGTTGAGTTGGGGGTGATGACCAGAGCACGGAAGAACTCTTGAGAAAGAAAAAAGCGTTGTCATCTAGCAGTACATTGCACATTCAGCCGTAGCACGCCAATACTCGCGCCCCCAAGCACCTGGCATTCTTTACCCTGCTGGTTACCGCCGTACATAGGTAGCTGTCTGGAGAACGAATGGCTTGGACAGATGCAAAGAGTCGCGCACGAGCCAGTGGCTGGATATGTAGATATCCGTTAGACACACGAGTGATGGACGTTGCGCGAAACACTAATATTTTGTTCCGTACAGCAGTCTGGTCATCTTTCTTTTTTTTAGCGGTTCTTAGCTCTTTAACGAGAAAATAAACTCCTCGGAAACTTCCCGTATGCAACATTAGTTTATACAGCCCGAGGATCGACTGGTGGGTGGGTGGGGAGGACGGCGGAAAAAATATACCCCGATGGATGCTACCGGTTGCTGGTTCGACCCGCTGCTACTGCTGCTTTGTTTTTTGCACCGCACCAAAGCTAGCCTATAACCATATAGCCCTATCCCTATCCCTCACCCCAACCCAACCGACCCGACCCAAACCTATAGCATCGGGAAAGTGCTAGGTCATTGTACCACAAGCAAGCCTAGGCCGCGGCAAGCCGCAGCGCTACCCAGGTTGCTGGAAAAGCTAGGTTGCTGTAGCGAGTTCACGTTCTAGGTTAGGTTGCTGTGCACCGTTAGCGCTATAGGTTGCTGCACGGTGAAAGGCTAGGTTGGCACTGGAGTTGCGCACAACAGAACCAGAACAATAACGAGAATATTCCGGGAACCTCATCTATCGACAAATGGGCAAATACTGCTGGAGCTTTTTTTCGCCCCCCCGCTGTCTGTTCCGATGTTCGGATGCCAGTTTTAGTTACCCTGCGCACACGTCCTGCACGGAAAAACCCTAGCTAGCAAGCCGTATGATGTTGCCTTTGGCTCTGCAGAGCCACGATGCGGGGTTACACGGAAGACGCCCTCCGCGGTGGTGCGTCACCTCAATTTCATCACGGGATCGATCCCCTCTCCTTCGCCAACAACCCAAACCCTACTGCTGTTGCAGCGTTTCTGTGACGCCCATGTACCCTTGGTCCTCTCCCCCACTCGGTTTTCAAATACAATCGCGGGTTTCAAATTCCAGAGTGAACGTAACACTACCTATGTAGGAAATGTGAAAACGGTCGTTGTTGTTTCTTCTGTGAGTCGCGTTTGTTTTAATGGCGCTTGATCCCCCTGCGCATCCAGCAATTGCTCACGTTCGGCACAAGTATCCCCGTGCAGCCAGGCCACGGTCACCAGAGGTGTGGGTCTCCCCGCAGATCACGAATCAACGAAGACACGACAGATACTCGTGTATACCCGCAAGGCAGTGAGTGCCAAGCTATCACTATAAGCCACCGACTACAATCAATATACCCTGCTCGCTACAAATGAGCGAAGACAGCATGCGCAAGGCGTGAGCTGCTTGAATGCATGTGTTACATGCACGAACAATGTACTCCGAAAGGTGTGGAAGGTTTGTTGAAGTAGTCTATTCATAGGTCCGGATCTCGGATCATAATCATAATTCCCAAGTTCCCAAAAGTGCTCATTTGCGGGATTCGATGCGTCGATACGCGCTACAACTGGAGATACGAAGTGCATCAAGCAAGTGCGAAGCAGTGGCAATCAGTGTACCTGATCTGTCCAGGTAGAGTAGTTGCCGAGGCAGTCGGTGCCAGTGGTGGGGTGGCAGTGCGAGGTGCGAGGGGCAGGCTTACGGGGAAACCGGGAGTTCCGTCGATCACATCTCACGCCTCCCCCAGTACAGTCTGCGCAGCACCCGCTGCGTTCGTTCAAACCGTCCCATAGACACAGCAGCACTGCCGTACAGCACTTGCAAGGTGGATTGCCAGCTGACACGCACACATCCTGCCCTGCTGGTAATTGGGTTTTGGAGACAGCTGCCTCCAATCTGGCGTTGATCTGCTCTTGCGTGCGCTCGACAACCAGCTCGAGAGCGGTCTAGACAAAATGTTTACATCAGGCTTCGGGCGATGTCGTCCACGTCAAGTGTCCGCGCCTGGCGGCTTGCGATTGAGCTGCCGACAGCCGCTGGGAGCATGGATGGGAAGAAGCGGTAGCACTGCTGTCCGCGTGTTTTCTACGGAACCAGCAGGACCGGAAATCAGCAAGCGACAGCAATTCAAACAGGTGTCCGCAAAACAGCAAGTGTGAGGGAGTGTGTGAGCAGTGTGGAGGTCGTGGGTTTGTTGACAGTCCCGCCATGCCAGAGGTAAAGCAAGAGCCACCGCAACCTTGGTTTTTACGCATTTACCGATGGCCGAAATCCTTCCACACCGCGTTGTTGAGGCAAGTACAAACAGCAGCAAACGTAATGTTGATTTGGCATGTGTATCAAGAGGGTTCATGTTTCGAACGGCGAAGGTCAGCGTCCTCTGCACCATCTGTTGTTGTTGTTGTTGTTCTTCTTCTTCTTCTTCTTCGTCTTGTCTTCACATTAATAACCGTTCCGATCTCTCTCTACCCAGTACCTTCGTCTGTCCGTACTGATCCAACACTCGACGCGGTCGATTCCCGTGGTCACAGGTTAACTTACCCTACAAAGGTACGCTCAAATAAACTGGCCCCGAGGGGTCCGCAAGTCAATTGAAATCAACGACAGATATTCTGGAGTCCTCCACTCCCTCTGCGCGCTATGCGAGGTAACAACTGAGACTAGGAGTCACCATCACGGGCCGGAGAGAAAGAAGTGCACCCCCTTGGTTCAATCTTGGTACTTCACAACGCAAGCAGAGACAAGGCCATCTGGCAGAGANGAATGAGGTACACCCCCTTGGTTCAATCTTGGTACTTCACAACGCAAGCAGAGACAAGGCCATCTGGCAGAGAAAAATAGAGAAAAAAGAAAGAGAAAAAAGGAAACAGAGAAAGAGAGAAAAAAAAGAAAAGGAAACAGTAAGTAAGGAGAACATGAAATGAAGACGAGCGAAGACAAAAAAGGGACCAGGCCGAAAATGGCAAGAAACAAAGAGACAGAAAAAGACACACGGTGGAGAGACCACCAACGAACAAGCAAACACGCAAACATGGCCACCAACCAGGGATACATTGTNATGGTACGTCATCACTAGTGGGGGGTTGGTGCAATGGTGCAGCGTTGGGGGGGGGGGGATTGGCCAAAAGAAATTCAATCCGGCACGTATCGCGCCACTCGGTCCGTCTATTCTCGCTTGCTTTCTTCCCTCGCGGTCTCGTCCGTCTCCTGCCCCCCTCCCGCCCCATTGGCTGTTGGTTTGTGGTTTCGTCTGAGCGCCCGTTGTCGGCTGGCCTCTTCTTCGTTCTCGTGCCAAGAGGTCATGAATCTCTCAGCTCCCTGCAGCACCGCCGCATGCCAGGGTACTCCCCCCTCCACCTTCGCGGCTTCCGTCCACTTTAACTTCGGTGCCGTGTCTTTCGGTACCGGGATTCCGAGATAAGATGGATCGGTTTTCGTAGATCCGTGGCCGGCCCCGAATGCCTTCAGGTCGCCGAGCACACACTTCGGTCAGTGCTGTTCCTGTCCCCCCCTACGTCGCTTCTTCGCCCCCGCCAGTTCGCCGAGCATCAGTCGTTTCGGGAGTCGCCCGTCCGGCTGCCTTGCCAATGCTCCCGCGAACAGTAGGCGTCGTTGTCGGACCGTGGCTTCAACGCTCTGGCATTTAACACTCAACAGCGTCTGGGTGTAAGAGAGCTGCCGGTAGGTGTCTTTCTTGTGCTTGTACCCGATAATTCGTAGGAGCAGTCGGTGGTGTATCGACCGCAGCGTCTGATAGTGGCCGCTGAGTGGTGACCATGTCATGCAGCCGTACAGCAGTGCCTCCATCGCCTCCGCCTGGAGCAGGCGGATCTCGAGTCGAGATGGCGCTTTCGGTCTGTCAAAGAGCTCCCGGCCATATCGCCTGAGGCACGCCCACGCTCCTCTGCTCCTGTAGTTGATCTCCCGGGTGAGGTCGCCTTTTTCGTTGACGAGGCAACCGAGGTACCGGAACTCGGTCGTCTGGGCGTATTTCTGTCCCGCGGCTTCGATGGTCAGCGGTGGAGGCGGGGGGGGCTGTGCTGTTGTAGTCGGCTTGTCCTTCGCGCGCATCAGGAGCGTCTCCGTCTTCTTCTCCGACACCGTTAGCCCGAACTCCCCGAACACCTCAACGATGGTGGTCATCATTCTCGCCAGTCCTTCTGCCGACCTCGATACGACGCCGGCATCATCGGCATACAGCATCCCCCATACTGCCCTCCGTACTCGGTCAAGGTGTGTCTCCTCCCCCCCCCCACCCGCTTCCATCTTCCCCTCTTCCAAGCACACCAGGCTCCGCAGAACAATATCATCCTCGCTGAATCGGATGACAACGACCTCGAGGACCTCCGCGACGAAGATGTTGAACAGCAGTGGGGATAGCACACATCCTTGTCGCACGCCCTGTGTCACGATAGCCAGTCCGATAGTTCTCCGTCGTCCATGCGCACCCGGGCCCGCATTCCATCGTGGAATTGCCGGATGGCTTCGATCAGCTTCGCGGGAATCCCGGCCCTGGCCAGCACCTTCCACAGCATCTCTCGGTCCACCGAACCATACGCCTTCTTCAAGTCGACGAAGCACATGTAGAGCGGTGTTTCTTTCTCCGCGCCAGCTCCTGGAGGCTGACCTTCTTGTACAGCACCTTGATGGTTGCATCCTTCCACTATCGCGGAATATCTCCTCCGTTCCACACCTTGACGAGGGTGGTATGGAGGTGTCCCAGGACGAACGGTTCGTCGTAATCGATCTTGATCAACTCGGCAGGGAGGGAGTCATGTCCGGGTGCCTTCCACTTCTTGAGGCCTTTCGTTGCCCGTGCCACCTCCTCGAGTTCTGGCACCTCTCCCAACCGTTGAGTGTCACGTGTCGCTGGTCGCTGCGTCACTCGTTCGATGATGTCTGGGTTCAGGGTGGGGGATTTGGTGTTGAGTAGGGTGCTGAAGAATCTCGCCCACCGCTGGAGGATGTCGTCCCTGTTCCGTACAGCACGCCGTTCTCATCCGCGACGAACTGCTGTTCCCATGCTTGTCTCCCGCTGAGGCCCACTGATCTCTTGAGGTGTTGGTACAGACCTCGCATGTCGCGATCTTTGTAGATTGCTTCGAGTTCAGTCACGTATCCGTCCAGGTGTGCATAACTGCCCGTTTCGACTGCTGTAGCCACTCCCGTACACGCCGCTTTGAGAACCCTCCACGTTGCTGAGTTCCAGTTGCCCCTCATCGCCCGGCGCGCTTCCCGCCGTTTGGTAAGGGCCTGCTCCAGCGCTGCTCTCGTCTCTGGGGTCTCACACCACTCCTGCGTGCGGCGTCTCCGTTCCTCCCCCAGGGTCGTCCGCGCTGCTTCGAGGAGAGCATTGGTAAAGTCGGTCGCCAGTTCCGCGGCGGTGGTTGTTCGCTCGTCCAGTCCTGTGTCGAGGTTGAGGAGGAACCGAGTAGTCACCGCACACCATGCTCCTTCGAACTGCAATTCCCGTCGGTCGAATTGCTTCTGTTTCGTTTTAGTCCGGACTGCACGGTTGTGGGCAAGCCTGCCACCGAGGTTGACGGTGGCTACTACCATATTGTGGTCTGAGTCTGCTTTGACTGGGCGAACCGGCTGGGGGATGACAACCGCGTTAGATACTCGGCCGTGATGTGCCTGCCTTGTCAGGATGTAGTCAAGACGTTTGCAATCGTTTCCCGACACACGGTTGTATGTGTGCCATATTCCGCCCTTGAGTGTCTCGAAGAACGTGTTCGTGAGAGCTAGCCTGTTTTCCGTTGCGAGGTTCAACAGTAGCATGCCATTGGCGTTGAGCTCATCACGCCCTTCCAATCCTAATACCCTCCCGTCCCCTCCGTCTAAGCTATCTCCCGTCTGCGCGTTGGCATCCATAAGGACATACACACATTCTTTGGAAGGGATCCTCCGCACGAGACTGTCAAGTAAAACCCCAGAACACGCGCTTGCTGTCGGCGGTTTAAGGTTCGTTTGGAGCATACGCGGCTACGAAGTTGACCGTTCCACGGTGGCCTGCCAACAGAAACCTCATGGCCATAAGGCGTTCGTCGATAAACTCCGTAGTGAACGTGGATGTCTTGCATAGTGACTCTTTGACTGCTATCCCCACACCATGGACTCCACCAGTCTCCGTGCCACAGCAGAACACCCGGAAACCCGATGCTGCAACTTCCGTTCGACCTGCCCTCCGTGTCTCCTGCATTCCTACCACCAATACGTCTTGTCTCGCTGCCTCGTGTAGAACGCTATAGGCTCGCCCGCATCCATTGGCCCCGTTCACAGCCAAAGTCTGCACATTCCAGGTTGCTTCCCTGAGAAGTTGACCCTGCTGTCCNACCATGGACTCCACCAGTCTCCGTGCCACAGCAGAACACCCGGAAACCCGATGCTGCAACTTCCGTTCGACCTGCCCTCCGTGTCTCCTGCATTCCTACCACCAATACGTCTTGTCTCGCTGCCTCGTGTAGAACGCTATAGGCTCGCCCGCATCCATTGGCCCCGTTCACAGCCAAAGTCTGCACATTCCAGGTTGCTTCCCTGAGAAGTTGACCCTGCTGTCCCTTTCGCGCGGCGCGCTCTGCTCTCGTAGCTAGCCTACGCGCCGCCCGACCCCGCCTTTTCCTCTACCTTCCCCTCTTTTTTTTTTTTTTTTGCTATTTTCTTGCGAACACTCGGGCTAACGTGATCATTACCCCGGTTCTTGCCTTGTTTCCCATAGAGTTGTCTTCTTGTCCCGGAGCGGTGTGGCCCTCCATCTCTGGACTCTCTCACCTCCTCTCTCTGGGGCATACCCCCACGGCGTGCGGTCACTCCGCCACCCTCACCGTGCTCTCTGCTGCTGCATAGCCCCGGTCTTCAAGCCGGGGCGTTAGGATCCAGTCTCATTTTGCAGCTACCAAAGCTGGCGGTTCACGAGCTACCCCGATCTCACGACAGCAGTAACTTCCAACCGCCAAACTCGGGATCCTCCTCTCAACAGTGCTCGGGACCTTATATCCGTCTTTGCTGGGTGGTCGTTCGAGGTCTAGATCCACTTGCGGGACCTCGGTCTACCCCAGGGACGGGGGGGGCAGGCCGGGGAGAGTAGTATACACCCCAGATAAGTCGCACTGGAACAAATGATGGACTCGAAATGAGAACATGCACAGCCGACTACTACACATCAACAGGGCGTTATCATGCTTACTCCGGTAAGGGAAATCCGCTACTGTTTGTTCCCAACTGAGGCAACCCGCGCCGTCGCTCTCGTTTCGTATTGTAGATCGCTGTCGACGCCAAGGTGATGCGGCATTTGGACGCGCTGGGGCTGGGCATGGAGAAAAAAAAAATCGAACGGGGTCGAAAGCTGCGTCTCTACCGAAGGTGCGGTTCTTGGCGACGACCGGACGCTTGCATCGTTACCGCTCGCACGCTGCACCGTTATCTCGGGTAGACTACACGGTAGTTTGCGTTATGTACGCCACCCTTTTTTCAACGGTCGGTGGGCTTATTGTACATACTGCGGTAGTCTGCGCATGCGAGCTTCTGTCCAAACGCGGCACAAAGCTGCCTCATCCTTGTCGTCGGTAACCCCGAGGTGTTGTGCGCGAGCCGGTAACGGTTCTCAGTTCGGAACGGGAGTTTGTGTGGCTGTACAGCGTTCAAACTTGCCCGTGGCTAATGCCCCAGTCTGACGTTTCTATCAACAGCGTTCGTTGCGTCTAACGAGGCCATCGTCGCAACTCCGACGACTCTTGCCTTCGACCTCGCGCACTGAATCACCGTCGGCTCTGTGCGTACAATATCTTCCGCAAAACACCTACAGGGGTGCCGTATCCTCTGCCGTGCCTGGAGCTACGGTTACCGCGGCCAAGCCCAGGACGTTCGACCACCCAACATGGGCCGTGAAGCAGCTATCTCCCGTTTCCAAGCTTGAGGAGGTAAAGCGCACGCCCACAACCCCTCCTTCCAAAATCGCGCCCGCGGGCAGTCAAGCGCCGCCAGGAGCTCGTGCTCCGTCTCAACGGAGATGCATGGTTGCCTCCTTTGACACACACACTCCCAGCACCACGTTGATCAATAGGGTAGGGGAAACGTTTTTGAGCCACCTTACGCAAAGTAGGAAGAAACGATTGGCCATCGGTGATCGGTCCTGTGGAGAAAATGCTCCGTCCTTTCGAGGACGCGTGGCCAATGGTCTGACAACGAAGGCATGCAGAGCGTTAGAGTACGCCCCCCGAACACTACCCCACTTTATGTGTTGAGACTTGATCCGACGTCCACCGCGAGGACAAGCCACAACAAGTGCCCCCGTGCCCCTTCTCCCATCATCCTTGTATAGTGTGAAAACCCCAACTATTGTGTTTGACACACACACGTGCCGCTGCTGTTGTTGTTACTCTGTGGCTTTTAATAGATCCCCCCTGCGGCAGCTAGCCTGCCCGAAGTAGCCCTGGTTGGCAGGTCCAACGTGGGCAAGTCGACCCTACTCAACGCACTCGTGGGCCTCAAGAAGCACCCGAACCAGAGAGCCAGCGTCTCAGAAACGTGAGCGCCGGGCGTAGTGTTGGCCCGACTTTCGTACGACCGCTCTTTGAGACAGGACTGCCTACGCGAAGATGTTAAGTCGTTCATCTATTTCCTAGAGAGGCAGGGGATACGGAGACTCGAACCCAAACCGAAATTCCCACCGATTCCATACTTCATCCAACATGCTCGCATAATAGAAACCCTGCGTAGGCTACTGGTAAAGGCACGCGTGTGTTACACAGCCAGCGCATCGATTGTCTTCAGTGGTTCCGCCGGCGCTTCGGGTTGTTCATTTGGACGAGAGAGAGGGCAGTCTTGCTTTTGCTCTTAGATCACAGCTGGCGAAGAGGAATGCTTGTTGAAAACTGTAAGCCAACTAACATCCCAACTCCCGTCCTGCGTGATGTTGGCTACTACCAACACTGACTGCGGCTAGGCTATTTCGATCCAGGAGTACGTATGGCGCACGAGTTACAAACCTGTTTGCTGTCGAGAGAATCTGATGCAACCGGGGTGTGTATGCTGAGCTTGCTACAACCACCAGTAAAAAAATGTTTCCATGTCGTCGATCTCAACACATTTGTTGCTACGGAGCAGGATTCGATTCCCCTCGTTTTGTCGTTTGACCGAGCGGCAGTAGAGGTGGTATTTATCCCTCCAGTCGCCGTTTTTTTTACTCTCGCTCGCTTTCCTGTTGGCCATGTGTTGATCGTCGTTGATGCCCAACAGGCCTGGAGAAACGCGAACGCTCGACTTTTTTCAGATAGGGAAAGGCAAAAGGTGAGCACACATTGTTTTGGGCCACTTTGCGGTTTTTTTCGACGCATCCCTTTTTTCTGCTGCGCCGTGCGGCTGCTGTCATGCACAGAAAGACCCCCCCACGAATGCTGTCCTTTAGCAACTCCCTGGGTGTGCGGGTGGGCCTGTTCCCACCGTACTTCAGTTTAGGGTGATTTTCGTTTGTTTATGGCGAGCACACGAACAGCGGAGGCTGGCTAAGTGTGTTGTTCGTGACGGTTTACTCGTGGGTGATCATCTGCCCCTCTCGTTTCGCGACGCGTATATTTCTTTTGGTTGGATTTCTCGCTGGCCGTTTTGCGAACACGCTGCTAACGCAGCTACGACTGCTGCCGCGTCAAAACTGGTCGTGTCAGCTGTCGGCCCCCATCGACGCCAAAACTGACGCTTGATGTGCGACATCTACTCCGGAATGTGTTCGGAACGAGTTTCACACCCAACCTCCAAGCGTCTTCTGGCGTAGAGAAACCTCCTCGATTTCGCAATACGCTTTACGTAGACCAGCCGGCCAACTACGGTATGATTTATGTCGTCCGCGCGTTTTGCAGGGCGAAGATGATTATTGCTGATATGCCTGGCTACGGCTTCGCCTACGCGAACGAGGAGCAACGGCAAGACTGGAAGGGGTTGGTGAGCCATCTACCTGCCTTTGTTTTTGATGCACCTGTGACATCTTTTGAAGTTGGTCGTGGGAAGGGGTGGGGGCGTCAGCCCATTTTTTGCGCGGACGGCAAAACACTTGTGAAAGTACAAAGAAGCGGATGCGAACACACGCTGCCACCGAGCGCTGTGGGCGATGCAGATCGCCAAACATGTCGGACGTTTCAGCCTTGTTTTTGTCGCCTTTTCGGTCCTTGATCGGATATGCAGCAAGCTTTCACGGGCGAGTCATAGCCGTGTGCGTCATGGCTAAATAACTTTGGCGGGACAAATCCGTGTGCAGTATTGGTGATATGAGAGCGTTGATAAGTTCATACTGATTTGTCCCGCTTCGTCTACCTCAGCCCCCCCCCCCCCCCCCCCCCCCCCCCCCCCCCCCCCCCCCCCCCCCCCCCCCCCCCCCCCCCCCCCCCCCCCCCCCCCCCCCCCCCCCCCCCCCC